AAGAACAGGCTGGGCTCATAAAAATGAATGATGGAAAGAGCAAGGAAGGGCAGAAAGTACACTGGTAGAGTGTACTTCCCTCAAACCTGCAATACAGTCATCAGTGTCCCACACGTGTCAGTGAGTATTGAAACACATTGATAGAAGGCTAGATATAATGCTGTAGGGTTTTTCCTTATCAGCATAAGCCAGATTTTTTCTTATCAATTGCTCATTTAGCACAAATGTCACAGTACTTTGGTAGGAATCTAAATATTTAATTCTGCGTGACCCACATATAGAATTGGTTAATTTCCAACCTTACTTTGCACACCTTTTGTGTAAAGATCATCAAACTGTCTTCAGTGTTACTGTACAACATTGTTTTTCCCAAGCATTTATTTTTAGCTTGAAAAATGGATAGTGCTCTCTGGATTGGTTCCCCATACCATTTATCCATAGTTCTATTCCATTTCATTTTCTCCATGGTCCATCATTTGTAGCTCACTAAATGAATAGTATGCCAGCAAGGATGTTGTCTGAATACAGGGTTTTGTGGGTTTCCCTGTAGGTTCTGTCACTGTTGTATCTGATGCTACTGTATTTCTTCATGACATCCCTTTTAGATCAAGGAGTGAAATGTTGGAGCGGAGTATGAGAAGACAAACTTAATTTTGCATTCCCTACTTACAATAGCAAAAGAACAGGCTATTTTCCTTTCTTGGAAGCATAGAAATGTATTGTGTATGTTTGTAGCGTAGTTCTTGTTAACATTAGGTTCATTAATATTTCTGAGAAAAGGATGCAAATTCATTATCCAGAAAATTCAGAATACCACCAGCGTTCACTCATGAAAAGTGACTAGCCTGTGGATTCTGCAGAGGAAGCTGAGAGATATTCAGTTCTCTGCTAACCATACCAAGAGATCACCCTGGACTCTTAGTCCCTTGCCTTGTTCACTATGTTCCTATTTCTGCAAGAAAAGTACATCAGGCCTTACCCAACTGCATCACTCAATGGTATTCACGTCAGCCAGGTGCATGGAAGAAGGCACTGAACCTGTCAGCTTTGACTGTAATCCAGTTCCCTACA